TTTGGGAAAATGGCCTACGCCTTCATTTTTGCTTATCTAGCCTTGCGCAATGGTACTAGTATCCGCTGCGATCGATGCGACACTTCTTGAAGGACGAGAAAGCAGAAGGATAGCATTCGGCGTTGACCAATCCCTTTTTGGGACGCGCCACGCATTCTGCATCCACTCTCGACCGTACTGTCGACGAAAAGACCCCTCGTCGTGCTAGGGTGTGATTGGGACCGCCTCATAACGCCCTTTTTGAGTGACGTCATCAAAACATGATCACAGCCTTTGATTTTTAATAGATATTTGAGAGAACAGACTAGTTTTTTTAGCAGATATTTGAGAGAACAGACCGATTGAAAGATCTACCTAGACTTTTCAGTAGACTGAGTCTACACTAGCTCAATCCGTAAGACTCATCAACACTCCCCCTTTCATCCTAAAGAAGAGTCACAACTATGGTGTATTCTGAACGCTCATTTCGAATTAGGCAGCTCCTCCCCAATTAGCCCACACTTTGCTGCCGCGTAGGCGGAGGTGGAATGGTAGCAGGTGATGTCATGTATCACGCGCGCAGCCCGGAAGTCACATCCAGGATTGAATCAGGCTCAGGCCAACCCCTTTCCATGTCTCTGCATCGAATAACACCTAGCAGATTTATATGGCATGGAATACACTGATTTGAACATCAGCTGGCCTCTGCAAGTTCGGAGTATAGGTAAACTTCAACTTCAAATTGCCCCTATAATCTGAATGGAAGGGGGATACGTGGCGCATCTCAAAATGGGAGTAATCAACGCAGAACGCTTCACCGAACCTACTCTGCTACACATGACTAATTTCGCATGAATATATGGGTAAATTATTGTTCCGAAAAAATGGGCTCATAAATGCATGACCTTTACGCTCGGTGGCATAATGAAAAACAGACCTAATAACATGAGGAGAAGAAAAGGCCCCCCAAAACAATCAAGAGGCGGTCGCAAAATGTTGTTATTTTTCATCGATCACCAGAATTTCACAGACAAGTGGTGCTGGAAGCGGAAGAACAGCAATGCGTAAGGGCTGAGGAAGCACATTGTGCGCCAGCCTCGCTTCTCATTAAAAGCACACCCCATAACCAAATGGGTGCGATTCTTGCATACAAATGAGATAAGAGGTACATGATGGACCTGCAGTGTAGAAAAAGGAAGGAACTCGATGAAACACCAAGCATCAGCTTCCCTATTGTGAGGCGGACTACTCTAAGACGAGAGACATTGGGCGCGGAGGAGAGATGATAGGCTAGAGAGCGCGATGAACGAGAGGGCGCAGACATCCTAAATGCTGAGGAAGGAACGGTGGGGTACCGGGAGCCCACCAAAAAGGCCCTAGCGTCCTTACGACGAGCTGGGCAGCCACGGGAATGACCTGCTACTTTTGTGAACACGGCTATTCTACCCACCAAAGGTACTGATCCACTCATCTCATAGTCGTATGCGCCTTCAAGAACTCTTTGGGTAGGACTGAGGAGGCCCACCTTATGATGGAGCTTCATTCGTGAGACAGGAGTTGGAGGTCATAGGAAAACGCTGCGAAAATTGCTAGCAGATGAATGAATTTCTGGTGGTCGGCGCGCCGCCACTGCATTGGCAGCATGGGTAATTTCTTTAAGAGTGAGACAATTGGAGCAGTGTGGAGAATCGAATCTGCGTTTACCAGCGTGCGTCATAGCTTGTTTGAAGAGCGTCTCTGCGGTTGCAAAACGGCAAGCAGATTTCAAAGCTTCATGTGAAAACCGCTTTCTAACATCTCGCCTCTAGTTATGGTGTTAGAATCCAGAAATTCTCTGCTTTATCTATATAAAAAAGGGAAAATTTCATTGACTAGCGATTTCCGCTTCTAGCGCTTGTAATTTTCTTAAAAGAACCATTGATTAAGCGAGGAAAAGATTTACATGGTCCGAGTTATTCACTCCTAATGAGGTAACAAAACTGCGCAATATTTCAAGAAGTTTCCCAGCTTTCGGATGACCACGGCGCTTTTTTCCATGCAAAACGAGCATCCTGGCAGCAAGCATATGCTAAAAAAATGTTTTTGTGTGGGATACGGCACGAACTATATAACAAAGTCTCCCAAAAGTTACCAGTAGAGTTACCCGGCGTACACTATTTTCAGCGCAGACTATCGCTGTAAGTTAGTGGCAATGCTTTCGAGACCACGCAAAGGGTCCCACTTTTGATCAAAGGGGACTAAGCCTTAGGGAGGGGAGGTTTTCCAAAGTGCGGGAGCAGTTTCTATTATTTCCTCAAACTTTTGCCCCTCGGCTTATGGCCGTGAGGATGACCTAAGTTTCATGCTTGAGTAGCCTCTAGTTTTTAGCTTCAGGGTCTATCATGTCCACATTAATTTTTTTTGATCCGACGAATCAAAGCTCCTCTGATAGTAAATCTCTGTATACGGTGTACCGGATATGAAGCAGCTGACAATACCTGCTTCGGATGCGCCATGCATTTGGTTTCGTCAAGGATCGCAGACACGTGCGGAATTGCAAATTTTTCCGCAAACACTTGCGAAAGGCGGTCAAACTGATTCTAGTCGTTAGCATGTAAGGGCTATCTTGTAGCCTGCATCATGTTTCACTTACATTGCCAACTAACACACATGTTCATCACATTCTCGCGTATCACATTACTAACGTTCACCCGGAAAGAAAGACTTGGGACACTCAGCAGAGACATTGAACGGTTGCTAGAATGGGAGCGCATATAGAGAAATTTGCAAGTAAGGATATCGAGGATGTTGAACAATAGAAACAGGCCTTTGTTAAGGCCCTGAGGACTCAAAACATGGACTTCTGTGACGAAAAGCGCCCCTATGGAGGCCAAGCGGGCCTCCGCCTTGACGATCGGCGCATTCATGAATATTTTACTGGCCCCACGATGAACAAAACAGATTTTAAAATCTGAGATTCTGCCATTCACAGAATAAGCATCCCCTTTTCAGACCACATGAGCCCCTTTTCTCTTTCATGCTGGTTACAAAATCGTAATGCTATAATGATCGCAACCAGGCTCTGCGACCCTTCAGTTCTGCCTACAGAGGACAAATTCAATTTTCGAATTTCTCTTGATTTCACCGTATCAATTCGAACTATTCAAATTTGTCTACCATAAATATGGCTGAATCGCGCAAAATTCGCGGGGTTGTCACTGAAGTGGATCTCATCCCGAAGAATGATCAGCGGCCCGGACAATGACAGTTGTGAATGTTTTGATTATGCGTTGTAATGCACGCGTTGAGGATTAATTAGTGGAAGCGTAATACAATGAATACTAGAGGGTAGGGTGGAAAAAAGTCACTTCAGCCCCACGTAACACGGCTATCCTTCCTAGGTCCCGCGCTACCTAGGCGGAGCCATTTTGGCGCCTTATCTTTTTTACACGTTTTTTGGATGAAAAACAATCTTGAAGTGAAAAACCAGGTTGAAAAATGGCTATGAGGTTTGTGGTGATCATAGTCAAGAACATAAGATTCACTCTAGCGCTAATTGGCGTCAACTTGTTGGAAAAAGAGGGTGGAACCCGACAGGAGGCCCGTCGCGCGGCGAGAAGGCAGAGACGCAGACAGGTCAGCGGACGAGTCGCAGCGCGTACTGTAGCGATTTCGCGTCAAGTTAAATAGAATGTACTATAGTACGTCCCACATCGCACAGCACGCGCTGCGACTCGTCCGCTGACCCGTCTGCGTCTCTGCCTTCTCGCCGCGCGACGGGCCTCCTGTCGGTACCGAAAAGGGCTTTTATCGCCAATTAGAAACACAACCTGATTTCCAGCGCTTTTTTGCTGTTTCTAAAACGCGGAGAAAAATTGAGCCTTCTCCTTGATGCGGGAAACGTTTTAATCTTCCCTTGTCCTAAATGACCTTAGGACGTCTATGCAAAGGACAGACTTTGACCCGAGGAATTGTAGTGAAAAGCTGTACACAAACACCAACGCACTCGCACAAGCCCTCAGTGCATTTGTCGCGGCTGCGTGATCACGTGCACGAAATGGGATGGGTCGTGGAGACGAACTCGTCCGTGCCCCACCCTTCTTTGCGATCCACTTAAGAAGGGTACCCGACAGGAGGCCCGTCGCGCGGCAAGAAGGCAGAGTCAGCGGACGAGTCGCAGCGCGTATGTGCGATGTAGGACGTACAATGGTACATTCTATTTAACTTGACGCGAAATCACTACAGTCGCGCGACTCGTCCGCTGACTCTGCCTTCTTCCGCGCGACGGGCCTCCTGTCCATTCATGAAGCCATTTGTCTTGCGATTCCAATCGCAGAAGTAGCAGCTTCCTTTGGTTGCCGAATCGACTTATTCACGGAAAAATGTACCAATCGTTTAAAAAATATGCATTGTCTGCCTTTAAGTCCTACCGACATCATCACGAATTCCGAATGAGAAAAGTATGAATAAAGAAGAATATGCACTGGATTATCCAGAAGTCTTATACGATCCACGTTTCATGCAAAATTTATGTCTCTCCTAAAAATTTGTAACAATACCAATAAAATAAGGAACTGACTAATCAATAGTGGCATCTCCATCGATTTTGACTTTTTCTTCTTTTTTCTCTGCAATTGACATGTCCACCAAAGCCTCTTCGATGGCTTCAAGTACGGCTTCGCGAAGGATTTTTGGTGAATGCACGGATCCTCGTTTGTGAGTCAAGTCTTCATTGCCATTCCTGAATTCTTCGTACCACCCCGACACAGTCCTTCTTCCAACCGTTCCGTCGCCAAAAGCTCTGTTGATGCGACGAGCAGCCTCGGCGGCACTTGAGCCGAGCTTGAACTCATACAGCATAAGCAGACGTTTTTGTTCAAGCGAGAGTTCCATCCTGAAGAAATTGTATAAGTGTTGAATATCAAAATGCCGTGGAAAAACACTAATTTTCAAATGTGCTGTCAGTCAAGAAATTACTGCGGCGGGCGGAGAGTAGGTACCGCGCGCAGTATTTTTTAT